AACGCTCTCTGGTTTCATTTAAAAGAGTCGATCATCAGATATTGTCCAAGATTAACCTTCAGGGTGGATATAGCTCGCTAGCAGCCTCGCACCGGGTATGTCATTTACTCAGCACACTTTGCGTCGTATATAAAAAGGCTCTCTCCATGTGACGACATATTTTATAAAAAATAAACAGCCTACAGTATTTTTAGTCTTTATTTTACAGTTAAAATAAATGTTCATCAAATAAAGTCTGTCAGGAGTAATCGTGGACCCTTAAGCGACAAAACTCAAAAAACTTTACTTTTTTCTGCTGAATGGAATTAACTGAAACAAACGGTGAGCTGAACGTGTGTAAAAATAAATCTGTGAAATTATTAGCAGCTGTAAAAATGTACTTTACAGTCTTCTGGTTTGGTTTTAGTTGTTACTAATGTGGTTTTCCTGTTTCATTTTAGAAAATTCTGTTTTTTTTTTTTAATGTGGCCTGAAAATTTTATTTTTCTCTCCASTAGAAATGAGCTGCTGTTGTTTTACATTCATAAAACAGGATGTARAGAGAGCATGCTTCATCCTGAAACACTTTTCAAACCTTGTTAACGATCAGGTTTGTCGTTACAATCGTGTCTTTAAATRGAGTTTGTTAATTTAATCAACGCCGTACTGATGAGTCCAGTCAGACTCCAGAGTAAGCCAAAGTGTTCGGCCTTCATCGTCCGCCACATTCTGTCCTCGAGGTTCGTCCTGGAGCCACAACACGCTCCCAGTCCGATCCCAGTTGTCCCGGTGAGACCCAGGTCCTGTCAAGTCCTTCAAGTGCTCCCCCCCTGGAGTCCAACCACAACACGTGTCCGTCCGTCTGTCCCCGGACGGTTCCCAGCTTAGGAATGTTATCCCCCGCCTGTTACAGACGCACAAAGAGTCCTGTCTTTGTCCGCATCCGTCCAGATCGGATTCCCTCCCCTTCCTCCTCTCTGAGGGTTCTGAATCCACAGTCTGCCTGTCGGCGTTCAGGTCAGCAGGGCTGCACTGTGCTGCACAGTCCACCGTAACACAGAGCTGCAAGCAGACCAGAAGCTGTTACACCAAAAAAAAAATAAGTTTTTCTCACTGACTTTTCAGCACAGCAGGAGTGGAGGAGGGAGGAGGGAAAACAAGCAGAGAGGAAGAGGAGACAGAATCTAAAACCAGTACAAGTCCTTGCTCTTTTCCTGCGCCGGCAGACCTGAGAGATGAAGAGAGGCAGGAGAAAACAGCAACAGAAGAGGAGAGAAAAGAGAGATTAGACAATGAGGATGACCTGTTGGTAAAAGCAGAAGGAAGAGCCCGAGGCAGAGGAGGGATGAAGAAAAACGACAGCAGGAGAAAAYGAAGCTGACAGCTGGTGTTAAGGTGCTGACAGGTTGTTGATTTAAACCACTTGAGGAAGTTAATCCTGAGAACGGAAACAGATCTTCAGCAGAAATATATAGAAAAAAAGCTTATTTATCACAGATTCAAAAACAGGCAGTTAAGCTCCACGTTTCAGTATCTTACCTGCAGCAGATAGCAATCGACGTGATCTCAGTTTGGAGATTCACGGACAAATTCTGAAGGAGTCAAGCTAACAGTTTCATAAAATAAAATTTTTACTTGTAAAATAATATAAATAAATCCATGTAAAATAAAATTCCCTACATGTGGAGGACTGACCAAAATCCACATGTCTGAACCTGATCACTGAAGTCCACGTGGACCTCAGGTCTGGGATGGTTTTTCAGGAAATTATGGGTGGATTTTGGTTTGTTGCCCTGAAGATTCGTACATTTTGCCAAGGAAGAGAAAAGAATCTGATTGTAGGTGCAAGTTTTTCATTTAAAGACAATTAACAACAKCTGTGTCAAACTCAAGGCCCGTGGTCCAAATGTGGCCTGCCACAGGATTGTATYTGGCCCGCGAGACCTTTTTCAAATTAGCTTTTTAAAATCTCCATTTCACTACATTTTTGCCACCTACTTTTGCAGCGGCCCAGTTGTACTGTGAAGTAGGAAGTTCCCACTTACAACTCGTTAAATAAAATCGGAACACCCCTTTAGTAGGAACTCCCCGTCGGAAAGTGGGAGAGTTTAGAATTCAAGACGTCAGCTACTCACCACAACTCAACAGTGAGTAAAACTTTCTTACTTTTACTATTAGTAGTATTTCTGTAATATTTATTTCATGTTTAGTCAGTCGTACTTTTCAGTGTTTATAAGACATGTTAAAARGCTCTTTCTCTACAGGAAATACCACGTAGAGCTCAGTTATTGTTTGTTATCAGAGCTCAGTCARAGAAACGAGACYTTAGTTGAAGTTAATTACAACTGGCCCTTTGAGGGAAAAGGACTTTGACGCTCTTGATTTACATCAACAGGAAGCTTTGCTGTCAAACATCGTGAATGAACCAGCCGGTTCTGATGTTATCAGTCCATTAAATGGACATTATTAGCGGTTATCAGTCCCATAGAATGGCTTCAGACTGTCCCGACAGTTCCCCCTAGTTGGTTACCAGTGCCATATACATTTGAATGCAACAATCTGCTACTGCCGGAGTCTGGTCTACTTTATCGTAGCCCATGTCATTTTTTCTAAAATTAACCGTAGTGGTTTTACACCTCATACTAACCAGCTGACAATCTGAAACCATTCTATGGGACTGAAAACGGCTAATAACGTCCATTTAATGGATGATAACATCCAAAGCGGATGGAATGAACACAGAACACGTGATTCTCCGAAACAAAGGGCTGATACCTCTAACAAGCTGTCAATCAGTAAATCCCTGTCTAATCCCACCGAAAATAAAACCCACTGCAGACGGAAACGAGTCAAAGCAAGACAATATGGCATTTTCTTCGTGTGTTTCTGTGTTGGTTTATTTCATCCTGTCAGTGG